AGTGCATCAAGGGAATCCAAGCAATATTAACAAGTGCTAAGTATACGTGACTGCAGGTCGAAAAAACAAGAAACCAAATAGCGGAGAGCAGAAGGGCAAACATTGAGTGATGAAGGAAAAGCCGAGGCATACGAACAATTTTCAGAAGCATTGAGGGAGCTGTTAGCCTGTACAGGACGAAAGTGCGTGTTACCCTGAAATCTAACTTTTCATTTTCTCTTCATATTGAAACCCTCTTTATTAAAATTCATAAACTTCTATATTATATCCGTCGGTTAAGTTCCTATCACACATCTCAGCCCCCAATCTGGGGATTTATAGAGGCCTGTATTCTCTCTCCTATTCTTTAACACTCTCCGGTTATTTTTCCTAGCCTTGTATAAACGACCCTCTGAATGCTCTCTTCAGCTACCAGTGTTTCTTGTCCTTTTTTAGTTGATATTACAGTACAGTGACAATTTACAAGGGTCAAGCAATTCGCTGCTCGAATTCTTGATTAGCTTTCCCATCCTATACACTCTAAATTAATGGTTGCAAACTCTTCCCATACTATGCGCCGAAGATTCCGACATAGGTCCTGCCGTACCTCGGCATATGAGCCCTTTGTACTCCCATTCCTAGCAAGCTACCTCACGGGTAAAGAAAGGGAAATCCAGAAGCTGAGATTAGACCCGTATCCATAACAAATGCGTATTTGATGTAAACCTCTACATTTTTGAGAATTTTGTTAAATTATCCCTTGATATCAGTGAATAGAGTCATACTTTGCTCAAAAAGTTGGATGCCACCATAAAAATAAAGCGTTTCTCTCTTTCAGAAAAATGCGGATAGGAATGGAGGAAACACTCACTGATCGCAGCAGCTCCGCAATTCGCACAGACGCAGACCTAGAGAAATAGGGAGACCCTGCTGCTGTTGTCTCTGGCGCCTGACCATAGGGGGCAATGACCTCGAGGAAATTGTAGGCCACGGGACACCACTTGCTGCTCAGTGATGGGCTTCCGCCACCGCCGCCGGCATGAG